GACCTCTCCTGACCCGCCCACTGCTCCCTTCAGCAGTGTATTTCAATCTGTTCTTCTCCCCACTCTGTCTGTCATGAATCCTCTCACCACCACCCACCCCCCTACCTCTGGCCTGTTCTCTAGTTCTTGTATGCATAAATAAATAAATCTTAAAAAAAATCAGTCTCCTTTCATATTTTCAAATATATTACCTATTAGCTTTGACTACTTCATAGAGATTTCTGTTTTCTGATTGTATTTCATATCCTGTTCCTGAGAGTTACCAGCCAGAGGTTCACAAAATGCTACCACTTGGTGACAGCCCCCTTGGAGTCCTACTGGGGGCTTGGTGGGGTGAAGCCCAAGACATGAGCAGAGGACATTTTCATGGATGTGCCTTTTAGATGCTTTCTAAGGCCTAGGCACCCAAGTTCTGTGTTTATGAAGCATTGCTTTGCTTGACCTTTTAGTTGAGCTATGACAGACAGAGAGGACCAGAGGAGTGTGACCACAGGGGCGTGTTTGATGGGGCAAAGTCCCTGGTGCCTTGGCTCACTGCTTCCCATACTTTAGGTGCACATGTTATACCTGGGGATCTTGTTCACAGGCAGCTTCTGACACAGCAGAACGGGGTGGGCCTTGTATTTCTACTGAATGGGATGGGCTTTGTATTTCAAACCCTAAGACAGTGTTGATGTTGCTTATGTGATTGGTGGTAGAAGAAGGTCCCTAGGTGAAAGGAATCCTTTGAGAACCTTCTCTCAGGAGGCTGCCATGGGCTGTGTGTTGCCTTTTGGTGAGAGCTCAATAGCTCTGTGTTTTGAATGTATAGAATTAGAAATAATTTGATTTCTAAATATTGTTCAATTCATCAGCTTAATTTCTAAGTTTCCTCTATTTATTTGGAATTTATTTTGGTGTATAGTGTGAGGTTTCAGGCTAAACTGATATTTCCTCCAATGCCTTGCCAATTTATCTCAATATATTTCATTCATTAGTCCTTCTCTTTCCACAAATTTGTGATACATGAATTTCCTTTATTCTAAAGATGCTTCTGGACTCTTCTGTGCTTTAGGGTGATTGTAGTATTGTAACATACCTTGACATCCAGTCTTTTCTAGCCTCTTTGGTACTCTGTTTCTTGACTGCTGTCACGTCAGCCTGCACATGAACCTTCATATCACTTTATCAATAATACAGTTATTAAGATTTTGATCAAAGTATGTCAAACCTGCATGTTAATTTGGAAAAAATGAGCAGTTTAGTAATATAATATGCTTCTCTTTTAAGTTTTTAAATCCAAATTTAAGTATCTAGCAAGTTTTACAACTGCTAAAAGTTAAAAGGGGGCTTTTGCAATTTAAATTCTCATAAGCCAGATTTAAATTTTCAATTCTTATACTGTATGTATACAAGTATATCATGTATTACGTTTGTGTGTGTGTGTGTGTGTGTGTGTGTGTATGTACACACATATATATTATATAGGTTACTTGGATGTATTCACTTCCCTCCTTAACTAGTTCATTTATCTAATTAACAAACCATCTCTCCTTAATCCTTAAATAACTCTTATGAATCAAATAATAAAACTTGTGAATATGGTCAATCTTGGATCCTTTAAAACATTTGCCAATGCCATTCAAAAGCTTGGAAAGATTTCAAGTTAAAGTCACACGTCTAAATATATATCACTTAAATTGTATTTTTTAAATTGAGGTCACAAGACCCAGTAGTTACTCTGAAAATTTAAATTCTTTCCAACTTAACACAAGAATCAATAGTAAGGGCTTGATACTCCTAAATCCACTAATAGTTAGATTTCTAAATTCATTGTATTAAAAGGTAATTCCTAGGATCTTCTCAAATTATTTAAAGCTTATCCTCCTAGTAATTTTTGGGGTTGTCATTTCTGTTAACAGTTTTCTGGATGACAGAGGCTCCTGAGTTCTATTTAGAATTGCATCATTGTGGGCCCCCCCCCATGGGTGGTCTCACAGCTGGGGTCCCCAGATTAAAGTTACATTTTACCCAGCTTTGTCTATTTACTTCCCAGAACCACACGTTCATTTGATCCAGTTTTGCATCTTTTTGCTTTGAACATTTTAAAAGATCTTCTCAGCTAGTTCTATACCTTTTATGCTTGATTAACGACAGAATCATTTTGATATCTCCCTTATATGCTGGGGCCATGGACCTTAGAATGCCATCTGACTACTGGAGGTCACTCATGGTGTTGTCTGATTATATGATCGCAATGACCGCAGTCCACTGATGACCTTCACTCCATATTTGTTGCTGTGAAACAAGTTATTAAACTCAATGGCCCTTGCTTTGTGGGGCTAAGAACACTTGCCTACTTGGGTTCTGTAAAAATCACTTAAGACGATATATATGAGGTCCCACTCGTATCTGAAGAGCATTTGCTATCTTCCTGTTATCACTGACTTGGCGAGTGGGCTCAGAGATGTGCCCAGGCTCCCTCAGCCCTCCTCTTATCCTTCGACATGGAGGTCTTCCTCCCCTCCTCTTTCCTATTTGATGGGAGCCCCCTCCCCCCAGGTCACGCCCTCTTCCTTCCCTTCCTCCTCAGTGGGGCTGTCATGGAAGAATGTATGCTGGAAACAAGACTGTCTACTATCAAAAATTAATGTTTTCTGATATCTGATATCTTTTCAAAAGGACAAAGACATGGTTAATGTCTGGGAAGTACTATGGCCTGTGTTGGACATTGCACTTACACAAGTAGAATCTAGAACACACTGTCCTTTCATGGTTTGTTAATAAATATTTTCTGCATGTATTCTAGATTCCAGCATGGACTCACACACTGCTGTGGGTCCTGGGGATACTGTCATGCACACAGGAGTCAAAACCCTTGTCCACATAAACAGGCCTTCTAATGGCACCTCGGGGCCTTGTTTGATGGTGGCCGCCCAACCAGGGAAGATTTTCAACCCAATTTTTGTGCAAGATACATTTTGCTCTTGTTTGGAGACTGGCCTGGGATTGTCTCTCACAGCATCGACAGCTCATAGCCCATCCTCGTGTCCTGATGTGCTCTTAGCCTATGGATGAAGGGCAGCCATCCTCACAGGGGAACAACCTCTCTTCTCTGTCAAGGTGTAAATGACCCTGGGTGAAGGAGAGCCCAAGGGCAGTCTGCTGTGGCCTCTGGCTTCCTCCAGTGTTCATGCAACTAACACTTCTTGTGTTCACTGTGAGCTGCGTGCTGAGGCCGACACCCCCCTCCCCGAATATTCATTAGCGTCAGTTGTGATGGTGACACAGAGAAGCTCTGTGGAGTGGCAGGTGTCTAGAGGATAGCCTCATTGCTCAGGATGGCTCAGGTGTGGTAGAACCTCCTTCAGGCCTTCTGGACCCACTGCACTCTGGGCCCTTTAGCAGAAGCCAGCAGGAATTATCTTTGAAAGGACGGGAGACATGGGCTCCGGCTGGCTGAGAGGGAAGGCTGTTTCAGAAGCGGGCTCCCTCTGTAACTCCATGATGTGTGAGTTTTGTTTAACTCACAGATGGGGTGCAGATGGAGCCCCATCAGGATGTGAGCTGGCCAGAGGCCTGTGCCATCTCTCCCTGCATGCTTCACTGATTCCCAGTCTGCTGTCAGTGTTGTGTGACCTGACCTGTTACCTCTGGGGAGTCCCAGTGTACCTTCCCTACCTCCCAGCAAACCTGGTTTTCTTTCGTTCTTCACCAGGGCTCTGGCTGAGAGTCTTGAAGGAACTATGTTGGGAAGAGCAAGTTGGGACAGGAGCCCGGCTTCAGACTCTCCACAGTTGCTTCCAGCTTGTTTGGAATGTCAAAAGCCAGCTTTTCCCACCTTGGGACAGGGCCCCTAGATGCATAGACATTGGAGTGCTCCTTTGCAAGTTCACACTAGCGTGGAAGGAGGATGGTCCTGGCCTTGAGTTTGGACTCTGCCAAATTGCTTGCTGCCTGACTGAACAAATTCTGCGGTCTCCTGCCCGGAAGGCTCATGGCTGAGGGATGGGATAGTGACTTCCTGATCCTGGACCTCTGTCCTGGGCTGCCCTTCACCCAGCTTTGAAGCCAGTAGCTGAGCCTGGTATATATAGGACGCTTGCAGGACACAGAGCCGTAATGAGCATCATTCCTGGCTGGTGTCCTCTCATTAGCGGGCAGGCAGCCTTCAGGACAGGGTCTTTGAGGGACCCTCACAGGAAGTATCTTTGGGATCCTGGCACAGGGTCTGTCTAGCAGAAGGGCAGAGTGTGGGATCCACACCCCATGGCAGGGAACCCCCAGGACCAGGGGCTGGGCGAGCAGGCTGGGGTGGGAGGAAGAGGCTAACTGCTTCTGAGATGGTGTAGATTGAGTGGCAGCCATGAGGTCCTGGGGGAGAGCTCCAGGAGGAGGGCCTGTGCCCTCTGGTGGCAGCTGTGGGTAGGGGCAGCCCTGGGCTGGGTGCTGGCGGTCAGTCACCCCTCGGGGGTCATACTGTGAAAACATCTGTTCCTCACCTTTATCACAGGTTGCTGCTGGGGGTCTTTGTGCTGGGGCTACAGCTCTGTGGACCGTCTCGTACTTACCAAGTGGTGTTGGGGCCAGCCCCGGTAGGGGGCAGAACTTGGCATCAGTGGGGCATGGAAATAGACTCTTCCCCCAGGGAAGAACAGCACATACTGTGAACACGTGGATCATCTATCACCTTGTGTGTTTTCTTTTATATCCCGGGAGCTCTGAGGAAAAGAGAACTCGCTGTCCGTCTGTGGGGATTTTGCCTAGGACTAGCTACAGGTCAAGTGAGACACTGATCATTCAAAATACTTTGCAGGCCCCTTGCTTTCGTGGTGGCCGGCCCCGGCTTTGGCGCATAGAATTATTGTGTGAGTCCTCCCTCTCTACCAACTCCATCTCGTAGATTCAGAAGAGATTTCATCGGATAAGCTGTTCTTTCTAGAGTTTGCTACCCAAATCCAAATCCGCAAACTCAAATCTTGATCTCCAGCTTAAATGAACCTATTTATGTTTCCCCCCAGCTGTCTTCTGGGGAGACATTGCCTTAGATGAAGATGACCTGAAGTTATTTCACATCGACAAGGCAGAAGACTGGATCAAGCAGTCAGTGGAGAAAGAGGGACATGGCACAGGTAAGACTGTCCCCTCCCCCACCCCAGAGGAGGGGGGATCTGACACTCCCTGGTCATTCGTGTCCCACCTGTCAGTGCACTGCCCACCAGTCTGTGGAAACTACTGCCAGCGGTGAGTCCAGGGCCTCCAAGTTTTCTGGTCCTTCTAAGAACCACCCCCTTGCCTCTATACTGGAAGGCTAAGGTTTGAGCTTCAAGGGTTCAGGCTTGAACCCTTGGGTGGAGGTTGTCTGGGACCCTGACTCCAGCATCCAGCACTGCTCAACTGGAGAAAAGCCTGTGTGGGCCCCACCATAGTGCCTGTCTGATGCTAAGGCTAATCATGACCAGCCTGGGGAAGATGTTTGCCCCTGGCTTTGTGTCTTGTTTGGGGTCAACCCAGGTGAAAATCCAGGAAAATCAGGGCCAAGAATCATGGGTGGGGCTCCATACTTTGGGTGCTCTTCTTTTCTCCCTCCTGGCCTCCAGGAGGGGTGAATAGTGGTAGGATTGGTCTCTCGTGTCCTCACCTCCCTGCTCGCTGGGCTCAGACGCCACAGTGTGGGCGGCCCGGTGCTCAGGAGCCTGGGGGCTGAGCTGTTGGGCTGAGACCTGGTGTGGCTGATGATGGCTTATTCTTGGGTGCCTGATGTGACGTTGTCCCTGCTGTCTTGCAGCCCTTCTTCCCACCATCCCATCTGTTCTCTACAAGTTTTTTGTTGTATTAGTTACAATAAGAACAACATGAGCTATATCTTCTTATAAGTGCTGAGGTATATAAGAGGTATCATAAATTATAGTCCCAGTGCAGGGCAGCAGGTGTCCAGAACGTCTTCATCTTGCATAACTGGAATGGTACCTCTGCTGGGGGTGTGGCCCCAAGTGTACTCCTGGTGAGAGGAGGAAGAAAAAGATGTGATCTCTGCCTGCCAGGACCCACCCTGTTCACACTGGTGTTGAGAGGACTTTGAAGGTTTAGCAATAAGCTCTCTAGCACCTCCACACAGTTCAGCTTTTCTGTCTGACAAGTGGACATGATGCTGACCTGCACTCCACAGGGCCTGGGGAGACTCGACGCCACAGGGGACGGGCTCGCCCGGTGTTGGCACAAGCAGGACTTTGGGTCGTGGCAGACGTCAGCACACGGGTGCTAGAGGAATGAGACTGAAATGGAGCGACTATAATTCCTCACAGCAAGTGGTGTATGAACGAAGAGTGTCGGGGTAGAGAAAAGTAGAAGTGAAGAGAAGCCTCCCTAGGTTAGCCCTGGGCATCTGGCCTTGTGTCTTGGGGGATGGATAGGAGTTTCTGTGAAGAACTGAGGAAAGACAGGTGCAGGGAAGCCAAAGACAGGAAGGATGAAGGGGAACAGAGGTACGGTGGGGAGCATGGACTGTGGTGGGGAGATGCTCCCTAGCATTCGCGAGGGAAGGCGGTGAAGGTGTCTGCCAGAGGGGCGGGTGGGAATGTGCAGAGAATGGGGACATGTGATGGCCCATGAGGAATGTGAGCAGCTGCAAGCCCCCCACAGAAGCGGAGGGCCAAGGGTAACACAAGAAGCCCAGGAAGGAGAGGGACCCCACTGCCAGCGGCTGGGAGGAAGGGAGAGCGTTGAAGCGCCTCAGCACTGCTTTCTGTGCCAGGTCTGGGCCTATCATCTCTTAGCTATTTCAGACGCGTCTTTATGGTTTACTCCAGTTTTAAATGGATTTGACAAATCATGTTATCTCCACACCAGTATATACACAAACTTAACTGAGCTCTAGCCGAAGGAAATCTTGCTTCCTAATTCTACCACTCCATCTAATTCTACTCTTGACCCAAATTCTTAGAAGCCTAGAGAAGTTGACCTCACTATAATCTTTATGTGGTTAGAAATTTATTTATTTATTTATTTTAAAGATTTTTTTTATTTATTCATACAGAACTGGGATACAGGCCAGAGATGCAGAGGGTGAGAGGATTCACCAGACACAGAGTGGGGAGCAGAACAGGCAGATCGACGAAGTACACTGCTGAGGAGAGCAGCGGGCGGGTCAGGAGAGGTCTGCCTTGCCATGTGGTCACCTCCGGGGCAGGCTGGGATCGAACTCATGTGGAAGTGGCTTAAGCTTCTTAGTGCAGTGCTTTAACCCATTGCGCCACCAGGGAGGGCCTAGAATCTTATTTTAACTTTGCACACCCACAGATCTTCACCCCAGACCAAGGTATGGGATATTTGCAGAATCCCAGAGAATTCATTAGGCCCTCTTCCAAGCAATAACCCACCTCACTGTACCCTCTAGTGTGACTTCATTCACACCCAAAACTCCTGATTCGCGTGGCGCCTCATGGCATGTATTGTGTAGTGTGTGACTTCTCGGCTTCAAGGTTGTGAAGTTCCTCCATGCTGTTGTGTGAAGCAGAAGTTCGTTCCCCTTCATGGCACTGTGTGTTGTGTGTATCTTCTTTTGTGTGAGAGGTCTTTAGTGTATTCGTTCTCTTTGGACAGTTTATAGTTTGGGGCTGTGGTAAACAAGACCGGGCTGACATTCTCGTGCACGTCTCTCAGTGGGCATGAGCTTTGGTTTCCACTGGATGTTTACCAGAGATCACAGAGCATACGCGAGTTTAGCTTTAGATACAGTCAAACAGTCTTTAAAGATGGTCATACCGTTTATCCTCTGCCCGGGCACAGGCTGGCCTGGAAAGCAGGGCTGGTAATCTTGCCAGCTCCAGCATCATTTTGGGGACTTGGGCTCTCTGGCTTGGGGACCTCACTCACACCCTCTGCCCATCCACCATCATGAAGGCTCAAGGCCACCCCCATCAGCTGTCCTTCACTGTCCTTGGGAGACCTCTCATGGCACAGCTTGGGGACCGGGCTTGGCAAATGCTTGTCAAAGACCCCAGGGAGAGGCTAGGCATGGCCAGTCCAGTGCCAGTGGTATGCCCAGCACTGCTAAGTTCCCTGTGCAGAAGGCTCCCTGAGGGTGCAGTAAGGGGAAGCCTAACTACTCAGCTGTCACCACCCTCATGGCACTGTCCAAAGCCAGCATGGTTAGCCTCATGGCCTAAGAGCTTGAGTATCTGTTTTCTCATTCCTTCTCCCCTGTGAGCTGTGAGAGGGACAGAATCTCTATAAGATCTGATGTTGGAAAACCCAGGGGTGGCCAAGTACCTGCTGGAAGGTACTGACCTACATTGGTGGAGGGGAGAGAAGGAAGAGACAGCCAGAGACTGGCAGGCCCTGGACCACAACCAGGGGCTTAAGAGACCCCAGTGCCTGTCAGCTTTGCTCTTTGAAGGGTATTTGCAGAGCTGGTCACAAGTCAGGGCTTTGGCATCCGACTGTCTGGGCTTTAATCTTGGAGTTGGGCCTCAGTTTCTCCATCTGTTCAATGGAAAAATAAGAATCCAAACCTCAGGGGAAGGTGAGGAAAAAGGGGAAGAATATATGGGAAGTTCTTAGCACAGTATCTGGCATGTGATAAATGCACAGTTAGTAGCCACTCTGCGTCTTTCTCATTACCTTCAGCTATATTTGCCAAAAGAGCGCTGAGCGGGCCCTCCCTGGTGGTACAATGGGTTAGAACACAGCACTGCAAGGTGGTTGCAGCCGCTTCAGTGCAAGTTCAATCCCCAGCCCCAGAGCTGACCCTCATGGTGCGGCAGATCTCTCCTGACCCGCACGCTGCTCCCCTCAGCAGTGTCCTTTGTCGAGCTGCCTATTCTGCTCCCCACTCTGACTCTGGTGAAGCCTCTCCTCAACCCTGCACCTCTGGCCTGTACCCCAATTCTGTACGCATAAATAAATAAATAAATAAATAAATAAATAATAAATGAATAGATAAATAAATGGATAAATAAATAAATAAATAAATAATAAATGAATAGATAAATAAATGGATAAATAAACAAACAAACAAACAAACAAACAAACAAACAAACAAATAAATAAATAAATAAATAAATAAATAAATAAATAAAGAGCACTGACCTGGGAGGATTTAAATTTAGAGTGGAGAATGGGGGCATTTGTGAGAGCTGGAGGGAGTGCTGGAGCTTGGCCTCAGACCCTTGAACTTGGTAAGGCTGCAGTTTTCTCCTGGAGCTTGGTGTTCTTCCCCCACTGCCTTCTCACAGGGCAGTGAGCATTATGCTGATCTCTTTCCTCTCAGGGCCAATAGTACTTTGCAATGATGTAGAAGAGTTGTTTAATTTTCAGAATGGGAATATGTTTTATTGTTTTTGCTGATGAAACTAATTCTGCAGGTTGCTTAAAAATAAAAAGTCCAATCACTCAATATCGTAGCCAGAAAGTGAAGCCCCAGGAGCTCATGTCACCTGCTGGCGGGTCCCTGCAGCCTCCCTGTGCTGGGGCTCTCGTGTCCTTTTAAAAGGCGGAGAGGATTCTGTCTGCTGCTCGAGGGCCCTGCCTTTCACCTGCCCCACATCCTGGATGCCTTTCTCCGCTCACATGGTGGCTTTTCACAACTAATGGTGGTTGTGGTTCAACTCTGCCACCACTTGTAAAACTCATTTTGTGCGGAGGGTCATGCTTCCCCCTTTTTTCTATATTTTTTCCTTATTTAAACCAGCGCTTCTGTGAGCAAGTGAGCCACTGGAGTTTTACACTTTTGCTTTGATTACAAAAATTAATTACTGAATAAGGAAACACGCTTTTACCCCTCTTCTCCGTCCATGTGTGTGAACAGGTATGTTCTTAGACACAGGGTAAGCCTTTGTAGGCTCCAGTAAGTGCTCTGCTTTTTTTGGTCGCAGTCGGGGGGCCGGGTCTGAGTCCCAGGAGGGTGACTGTGAATTTGGGGCTGTCTCCAGAGTGGAGCGGCGCCCTGGCCCCAGGAGTGACTAGTCTGCTTCCTTTCGCTGTGTCTCACATACTCTCGGCAGCAGAAACCAGGTTCCCACAGCCCAGGCTGTGTCTCCTCCACAGTGCCCACCAGCTCCCCATGTTGCCAGCGGGAGACCCAGCAGAGCTCCATCAGAACCCTGAGGAAGTCTTTCTGGGCAGTAGGTAG